TGCCATTGTCGCTTACCCACAATGGTGGTGCTCCAAAACGACTGTGCCAGTCGAGAATGGCTGTAGTTGCAACAGCACTGTCCGCTGCGTCACATGCCACGAGCTCACAGAAATGTGTGGCGTGGTCTTTGAGGACAAGTAGATATTTACTGTCCCCAAAAGATTCGCCTAGTGCTAGGAAATCCCAATGTAGAACACCATTTCTGTCGTTGCACTCTATGGTTTCACTCCATGGTCTACGAATCATTTTTCCACCTTTCACATGTGGGCACAACAGGCACGTCGACACAAATGCGTGTACGACGCCTCGAATGTCGGGGATGTGAAAGATGCGTCGTAGATGGTTCACCATGGCTTGCTCTCCACGGTGACCCTGGGCCCCGCAATGAGCAATAACGCATAGCCTTTGTGTCAGCTTCTTGCACGCACGTGGAATCCAGATGCGTTGATCCACTCGCACCACATTGCCGTCATCAACGCTCGAAGTAGGTGGAGCCTGATGTTGCTTCTGAGCTGCAGCGATTTCTTGTAGTGACGGCCAAACGAATTCGTCGTCGTCGAGCGGTCGGAGAATTTGCATTGTGCTAGGCTTTTTAGATGTCCGTTTCTCCTTGACCTTCTTTCGTGTGAATCGCTTCAGCCTCACTGTCACTGTAGGTTGCCCAGCCCATCTTGACAACATGTCCGCCCATACGTTTGAAACACCTTCAACATGTTCGATAGTATACCGATAAGGCATAAGTTTCAAGGCCCATCGCAGTAGTTTACCTCTGATGTGTTTCTTAATGCTCGTATGGGGAGCGAACACATGAATGAGGTTGCGGTGGTCGCAGAATAACCTAAATGGTCGGGCACGCAATAGTAGATAATCGAGCTTTTCGCACGCCATTACTATAGGATAAGCTTCCTTTTCGATCACTGTCCAGTTCAGCTGTGCTCCCTTAAACGTACCGCTGAGGCACGTTAGCAGCTTGTGCTGCTGGGTAGACACAGGAACTCTAGGATCAAAGCTTGCTACTTGACTCACCATAACCGACCAGCCGCTGTCCGATGCGTCTGAACACACTACGGTGGTGGCTGAGTCGTCAGGTAGCGCTAGTGTAGCAGATGTAGCCAACAGGTCTTTGATCTTGTCGTACGCAACCTTTTCAGCATCCGACATTGCGATAGATATGCCGTTGGCGACCCGCTTCGTGCGTTTTCCACTCTTGAGGGCCGTGTCCAATAGTTGTTGTAGAGGTTCAACCGCGCGAGCATAGTCAGCGATAGACTCTCTCATCCAATTGGCAGCACACAAAAATTGTTGTAGCTGCCCTGCTGTAGTCGGGTAAGGCATTGCCCGCAGTGTATTGATGCGAGCAGGGTCGTGGGTCACACCTTCACTGGTGATAATGCGACCGCACCATTTTACCGTTTGCTGGTAAAGACTGCTCTTCTTGGCACTCAACTTAAGCCCAGAAGTCGCAACTAGGTCGAAAAACACCTCCAATTTCGTCAAATAGGTCTCGATGTCGTCCGTGAACAAAAGGATATCGTCAATCCAGATACCCAAAGAACTGTACAAAAGCGACTCGAAGCATTTCTCCATCGTCTGCTGGAAATGCACGGCAGCATCACAGCATCCCTGCGGGACACGACGAGGAGTGTATATTTTTGAGTCCGTAATGTAAGACATTAGCTCCTGACTAAGCTCATCTAGTGGCAGTTGCCAGAAACCCTTGAGGAGGTCGAACAGCCCGAAGTGCTTCTTTCCTCGGGTATGCTCTAACAGTGTTGCCATGCGTGGCATCGTGCTGACGAGAGCCTCGATGAGGTCGTTGACGAGACGGTAGTCGCAGGTCTGACGGTACTCGTCCGAACTTACGCCCGGTTTGCGTACGGGCAGCACTGGGCTAGCCCAACGACTGTTTGGGTTTTCGTAGATCCACCCCAATTCAACGAGCTTAGCGTTGAACTCGCGTAGAAACTCTCGAACTGCTGGCGGATAGCGCCGCGGCTTGCTTTTCACCGCGCTCGCACCGTCTTTGAGGCGGATTTTTAACGGTTCGACATTGGCCGGTGGGTCCTTACCAAGCTCTAGCCTCCAAATGTCATGTTTCAGAACGATGTCGCGAAGCTTCTCTAACTCCAAGCATTAACAGGACGCTGGTTCTACGGATCCCCATGTCTGGAGGAATCGGTGATGACGGAGGTATCGGCTCGACGCGGATCCGGATCCGATTGAGCCCGATCCGGCCCACTCTAAATCTGGCATTTCCAAATTTAAGGCAAAGGTATACAGCCACTAGCGGCGAGCAGCCTCTTCAACAGTTCCGACGAAAGCGGAGATTCTAAGAGGATACCAAAGCCAGGACCCAAATCTAAGGTCAAATCCAAGAGTCACGGCGAGACTTTGGAAGTTGTCTTCGGCAGCTCGGCCGACGGTGAGGTGAAGATGACGAGACTTCTAAAGCTCCTGCGCCCATCGCGGATAATTTACTGGAAGAGGATACTCGGTGAGCCCTCTCTAAGTGGGGATCGGAAGCTTGACGCCGAGAGCGTTCCAACCACTGCGTCTTTCAGCAGGGTCCCGCGGCGGCTGGATCTGGTATCCCGGCGACTGACCAGTCCCTAAACGACCTCAGTCAGTCGGACCTGGCTCCAGCCCGATCTACTTCCAGAGGATCTACATCTGGGTCCACTCACTCTCAATCCGCTTCCGCCAGATCTGGGTCAGCGGCCGCTGCACATAAGCTGACGGCAAATCTGTCAGATATGCTGCCTGAGCATCCGCTTGGCCCCGATGACGTGGTTATATCTGAGAGACCCCAATCACGACGGCTGCCGTTACTCCTTGGGCTGCGAAAAAATCAATATCGCATAACCACCATTACTGTGGAGGTCACCCTCTGGTTTTCGGACATGCCGCTGCAGCCTGGTTCGCTCTTCCCTCGCAATGCTTCGGGAATCTCGGTGACACAGCACCGTGATGGTATCATTGACC